TTCAAAGCAGCAGAAGGCGAGACAAGAAACAATGGATGGGAACTAAGCAACATAGAGCTAAGAAAAAGTTTCCTGTCAGAACAATCAATCAGTGGAATGGCTTCCCTTCAGGTGCTCAGGGTGCTCCATCAATGAAAGCTTTTAAGGAGAGACTGGACAGCCACTTGTATGAAATGGTACAGGACAGCGGTTTGCAACCTTAAACACTCAAAGAACCATTTGGACCCATTTCCCACGGAAAACACTGGGCGTTACCAAACCTGAGTGGGCATGACTAACTCAATATCAGTCCCACCCAGTAGACACCCCCCCAGCCTACCCAGGTTTTGTCTCCCAGTGTTTTCTGTGGGATATGGGTCTCTCTCTCTCTCTTACCTCCTCCCTCCCTCCCATGTTTTTCTTTTTCTCCTCTTCCCCTCTTTCTTTCTTTCCTTTCCCCCCTCCCTCTCATTTTCTCCCATCATTTTCCCATTTCTCTCTTTCCCCTTTTCTCTCTCATTTCTCTCTCCCTCTCTTCCCCTTTTTTCTCATCTGTTTCTTTTTATTCTGGAGCCATTGGCTGCCCACACCCAGCCTACAGGAAAGGCTTTGTTTGCTATATTTTAATTTTTTTTAATTTAGGTTTTTTTCCCTGACGAGGGTCTGTGCCCCCTTCTCCTTGGTTCCATCAGTGTCCAATAGCCTTCATTTTTGATGTTTTGTGAAGGGCTTTCAGGTGTGGCATCTCTCTGGTGTAGTTTCGCATTCCGTTTGCAGGCTCTGTCTTTGATCCTGTTCATTCCAGATTGACAACTCTGGTTCCTGTCTCCCTGTCATCCCCCTCCCCTTCTTTGCCCATTCCCACGCCCATTCCTTACTTCCCTAATTGCTTCCCCTCTTCCTTGCATTTTATGGCAGGATGCCAGCGAAGCAGAGTATGCTGGAGATGGCAGGCCTGACACGAGAGTTTCAACTTGATTATTCCTCAAGAACCCCCAGGAATTTTCTACTGTTCTGCATTTTTCCCTGGTCAGCAACTCTTGATGGCTAACAATTCTGCCCTTTAACACAAACCAATAGGAGCACTAATGCATGTTTCTCAAGATGCTGGCTTATAATCCAGCCAGTTGGACCATCTGGGTCTCCTGGAGATCTTCAGCATGAGTCTTTCTCTATCCCAGGCAGGAGCTGCTGCCCCAAAATTAGCTGTTCTCTCTTTTTGCAATCTGTCAGACCAGTAAGGAAAAATTTCTGGCTCTTTGCACTTCTGCAAAATGACAAGATGCCCTGATCAAGTTTTTCTAGAAATGCTTCCTTCTCCCCTATTGATGGCACAGAAGATGAGATTCAGTCACAGCTGCTTGTCCAGCCTAAAATTATCTTCAGAGGTGAGCCTGACAGTTGCTGAAGTCTATTTAACAAGTAGAACTCCACGCTTGGAAAATACTATCTGGCTTGTGGGGGATGAGCAATTCATCCTAGTGATTAGTCTCTCCAAGGTATCCATGGAGAGATCATGGGCTGCCTGCAATTCCTTTGGGGCTCAGCACCTCCTGCCTGGGACCCTTTGATCAGCTGATCTGCAGGGAAGATCCAGCCCAGCTAAGCAGGGGTGAAATCTAATTTTTTTTGCCACCAGTTCTGTGGGCATGGGTTGGGTGTGTGTGGCCTGGTAGTGGTCATGTGGCTGGGTGGGTGTGGCCATTTTGTTTTTTTACTTTTTAAAGCATTTTTAACTAGTAAAAAATGCTTTAAAAAGTAAAAAAAAAAGTTTCCAATGATCAGCACCTGACCAGCCTGACCCTCTCGCCAAGCCAGATCCAATGCCTCCTAGCCCCAAAGATTGCAAGCCTTTCTACGTCGGCCACCCAGTCTGGGAGATGACGGGGTGGGGTGGGGAGAGAGAGAAACAAATTGCTCGGCTGCTGTCCCTTTCCACTCAGCCCGAGCTTCCTGTTGTGGATTTTCACGCCTTGCTTCACACGCCCGGGATTATCACCCTCATCTTCTTCCTCCTCCTCTCCAAGTGGAAAAATGCCAGGAGCGCAAAAAGAAGCGCTTGCTTGCTCCTGCCGTTTTTCCATTTGTAAGGAAGCTTTCGTACCTTGTGAAGGCAAGTCTGGCTTCCTGTGCTAAAAATCTCACCAATACCGCTGTGCGTGCGGCTTGTGTGTGTGTGTGTGGATGTCTGGCATGGGCTGCTGCGAAGACCAGAAGCAAACACACACAGGCTTTAAAAGACCTTTGAATGAAGGCGGGGGTGGATTGGAGGGGTCACTTCCCTCCCCCTCCCTGCCTCCGCACCAACATTCAGTGCAGCGCACACAAACACACACACACACACACACACACACACACAGAGGGGGGGAGGCTTTAAAAGACCTTTTGAATGACGAGGCTCCTTCAGGTTGACCTCCAAAGAAAAGAGGAATGAAGGTGGGGGTGGATTGAAGGGGTGAATTCCCCAACTCTGGTTCAGCCAGCCGGGGATGGGACGGCAGGCACAGGCTTCTGCAAAAGACCAGGAGCAAAAAGACACACACTGAGTGCACAGCAGTACTGGTAAGGTTTTTAGCGAGCAGCGCAGGAAGCCAGACTTGCCTTCACAAGGTACGAAAGCTTCCTTACAAATGGAAAAACAGCAGGAGCAAGCAAGCGCTTCTTTTTGCGCTCCTGGGCATTTTTCCACTTGGAGAGGAGGAGGAAGAAGAGGAGGAGGGCGACAATCCCGGGCGTGTGAAGCAAGGCATGAAAATCCACAGCAGGAAGCTCCGGGTGAGTGAAAAGGGAGAGTAGCCGAGCGCTTTGTTTCTCCGGAACCGGTAGAAAAAAATGCTTAAAAAGTAAAAAAAAAAAAAAGTTCCTACGATCATGCATCGCTCAGCCGATCGTCGGAAGTTTTTTTTTAAACTTTTAAAGCATTTTTTTACTACCGGTTCTCTGGAAGTAAAAGCAGGAAGTAATGACGACTAGGCGGCTGTGCGGAGCCTCAGGTTGCCATTGCTACCGGTTCTCCGAACCACTGGCTGTCATCGCTACCTACTCGCCCGAGCCGGTCCAAATTACTGGGAGCATTTCACCCCTATAGCTAAGCCTTACTAACCCACCTGCTCTGAGGGAAGAATGTGGGGCAGGGAAGGCAACAGGAGGACTGCACAAAACAGAGGGGCAAAGAATGGCGGCTGGAAAACCATGGAGGGGGGGGGGATACCCAGGAAAAAAGCTCATTGATGAGGATGAGTATCAGGAAAGGAACTCTAGGGGAGGATCCCTCCCCAAGAATTCCTCTCTTCAGGGAGGGGCGGACTCTGTGGATGAGAATTGCAAACCTTTCTCCAATTTGGCTGCTTGCTCCCATGCCTGCTGGGGGTTGCTGTGGGGGGGGGAAGAGGAAGCCAAGGAGAGGAGAGAAAGTACCCTCCCTGTCAAATACCAGGGAAATCAGAAGATCCAGACTGTTCAAATGGGTATAAAGATTTCTTGCAAGCTTAAAATCTCTGCAATAATCTGAACAACAATCAAAGCAATTTGGAAGTATGACACTTCCAGTTGATGTTGCGGTGATATCAGACACAGGGAATGGGTCTCCACATTCCCTGGGCTGAGTTCTCCCTATTGTGGCCTCCAAGAGGAGCCAAAGCTGGTGAAGCAAAGAGGGGCGCCCTGTGAGGTTGTGGAATTGCAGCTCTCCTGTCTGACCGGGGGTTCTTTTTCCCTTTCAGCCATAGTAAGAAGAAGAGACATCCTAAAGTTGTCTGCCACAAAGCTGGGACAACCGAGGAACAACTAAGACTGGTACTGGAGTGAAGTAGGTGAACAGTGATTGAAACTGGGGGAGAGAATTCCTTTTTGCCTTAAACGTAACCCCAAGGAACAATTTAAAACTATTTGCTCAGAACTACTTGTTAAAGGGATGATGAGTAAAGACCAAGATGCCCAGGAAAGGGAGGAGCCAACAGAAGAAATGGAGGAAATGATTGCGCCGAAGAACCAGAGAACAAAAGATGTTGAGGAGATAACAATGAAAATAACAGTAACAGATGAATTAAATCAGGGGGAAAATATATTAAGAGAGTTGAAAAGAGAATTGGAGATACAGGAAGATACTTTTGGAAGGGACATAGGAGCCCGGGTAAAAATTTTGGAAACTAGGCAGTGGAAGAGAGTAGAGGTGGGAGAAAAACCTAGATTGAACTGTCAAGAAGTAGATGCAGATTGAGATAAAGATCCAAGGGAGGAATATGAGAGGCAAGCAAAAAAATAAAGCAGAGCAATTAAAGTACTGAAGCGGGCAAGAGATGATGGATAGATGAGTTTTCTTTTTGTTGTTGTTCTGATTTGCTTTTCTTTTTCTCTCTCTTTTCTTTTGTTTTTTTTAGGTAGGTGATATGACTAGAAGCTAGGTAGGACAGAAAGAAAATGTCCTTTAATATAGGGTGACATGATTAAAAGTTAGAATAAGAGATAGAAATAAGAGAAAGGGGAAACAGTGTATATATTTTATATAATAAAATAAAAGCAATAAGAGAAAACATGGAATAACTGAACAATGACAGACTGCAACTTAATATGTGTTTATTATTAGAAATATAAAAGTTGGTTGAAACTTGGAAAAAAACAATTTGGAAGTAGATATGAATCAAAGAAATTCAAGGTGGGCTGGATTTAAACCTCTTGTGGGCATGAAGGGACACATTACTAATGGCATGTTTGATCCCTGCTGTCACCATGAATTCTAGGCAGAATGAAAATGACGGCTGCTTCCAAGGACTACTTGTATGTAGTTGGGAAATTCTGGCATTCAAAATCTGGAGGACACCAAGGTAGAAGATGGAAACTCCAATCGTGGGAATTCAATAATCAATATAAAAAAACACCATCCAAAAGCCTTCTTGAAGAATTCCACACTTCTGCAAAAGGAAATATCATGAAAGTTCTGCTGAAAACCAGAAACAGGTAATTAGCTTTATCAAGGCTGTGAGTCCTTTGGTCTCTCATCAGGTTGGAATTATGACTGAAACTTTTCTCGACATTCATACAATTTGTCCTGGAAATGAGTCCTCCGGTGTTTCATTAGGCTGGAATTCTGACTGAAACTTTTCCCACACTCAGGACATTCATACGGTTTTTCTCCTGTGTGAGTCCTCTCGTGTCTTGCCACACTGGAAATATGACTGAAACTTTTCCCACATTCTGGACACACATATGGTTTCTCTCCTGTGTGAATCCTCTGGTGTGTCACCAGGTTGCAACTCTTACTGAAACATTTCCCACATTCTGGACATTCATACAGTTTCTCTCCTGTGTGAGTCGTCTGATGCATCACCAGGTTGGAATTACTACTGAAACATTTCCCGCATTCTGGACATTCATACGGTTTTTCTCCTGTGTGAATTGTCTGGTGTTTTCTCAGACTGAAAATATGACTGAAACTTTTCCCGCATTCTGGACACACATACGGTTTTTCTCCTGTGTGAGTCCTGTGGTGTGTCACCAGGTTGGAATACCGACTGAAACATTTCCCACATACTAAACATTCATAAGGTTTCTCTCCTGTGTGAGTCCTCTGGTGTTTCACCAGGCTGGCATTATTAATAAACCTTTTCCCACATTCTGAACATTCATACGGTTTCTCTCCTGTGTGAGTCCTCTGGTGTTTCCCAAGGCTGGAATTATTAATAAACCTTTTCCCACATTCTGAACATTCATACGGTTTCTCTCCAGTGTGAATCCTCTGATGTGTCACCAGCTCGGAATTATTACTGAAACATTTCCTACATTCTGAACATTCATACGGTTTTTCTCCTGTGTGAATCCTCTGGTGTCTTTTCAGACTAGAAATATGATTGAAACTTTCCCCACATTCTGGACACACATACGGTTTCTCTCCTGTGTGAATCCTCTGGTGTGTCACCAGGTTGGAATTCTTACTGAAACATTTCCCACATTCTGCACACTCATACAGTTTGTCCTCTGTGTGAGTCCTCTGGTGTGTCACGAGATTGGAATTCTGGCTGAAATTTTTCCCACATTCTGGACACACATACGGTTTCTCTCCTGTGTGAGTCCTCTGATGTTGCACAAGGCTGGAAGTGTGCCTGAAACTTTTCCCACAATCTGGACATTCATACGGTTTCTCTCCTGTGTGAGTCCTCTGGTGTGTCACCAGGTTGGATGTGTTACTGAAACATTTCCCACATTCTGAACATTCATACGGTTTCTCTCCTGTGTGAGTCCTCTGGTGTTTCACAAGGTTGGAAGTCTGACTGAAACTTTTCCCACATTCTGGACATTCATACAGTTTCTCTCCTGTGTGAGTCCTCTGATGTGCCACCAGGTTGGAATTCTTACTGAAGCATATCCCGCATTCTGGACATTTATACACTTTCTCTTCTTTGTGAGTCCTCTGGTGTTTCACTAGGCTGGAATTATGACTGAAACTTTTCCCACAATCTGGACGCTCATACGGTTTGTCCTCTGTGTGAGTCCTCTGGTGTGTCATCAGGTCGGAATTATTACGGAAATATTTCCCCTATTCTGAGCAATCATACGGTTTTTCTCATGTGTGAATCCTCTGGTGTCTTATCACACTCGAAATACGACTGAAACTTTTCCCACACTAAGGACACACATATGGTTTCTCTCCTGTGTGAGTTCTCTGGTGTGTCACCCGGGTGGAATTATTTCTCACACTCGACACTCATACGGTTTCTCTCCCGCGTGAATCGTCTGATGTGATATCAGTTTGGAATTACATCTGAAACTTTTCCCACACTCTGGACATTCATATGGTTTCTTCAGGGTATTGAGTCCTCTTGTGTGTCACCAGGTGGGAATTCCTACTGAAACATTTGCCACAGTCAGGACATGCAAAGGGTGTCCCTCCCATATGAGTCTTCTGGTGTATTACCAGGGTGGAGTTGTGACTGAAAAGATTTGAAAAAAGAAAAAAGTATACATTACAATAAGCAAACATGCCACAATAAAGAATAATCTCTTACATTAGTTATGATTTATTTGACACATTTGTGTCCAATTTCAAATATCCATTCAGCATCTGTGTCAGCCCAATCTTTAAGCATGGTGTCATATTTATTTATTTTATTTATTTTATTTTTTAAATTTATATGCCGTCCATCTCCGAAGACTCAGGGCGGCTCACAATACATTTTAAAAAAAACCATTCTAAAAAGATTTAAAAATTAAAAAGCAATTAAAAACTTTAAAAAGCATTCACACCATTCATGGCTGGATCTCGCCAGATCGCAAAGTGAGATCAACCGCCCCAGGCCTGCCAGAAAAGCCAGGTCTTCACCGCTTTTCAGAAGGCCAATAGGGTGGGGATGGTCCGGACCTCAGGAGGTAACTGGTTCCAGAGACCTGGGGTGGCCACAGAGAAGTCCCTCCCCCGCGGGCCCGCCAACCGGATATGACAATGCCAATTTACATACCATGCTTGTTGGTTTTACAGAAAGGGAATGCCATGAAAGAGAAGGTGGAAAGTCACAGAGAAATTCTGTGCCTTAAACCGACAGAATTTGGAAAAAAAACTTAAATTGGAAAGGGAAGATGGTAGTGGAATAACTAGAGGAAGCAGGACTGGGTTAACAGAATATAAAGATAAACTCTCCACAGGGCATTTTATTCCAACAACAGAAGCCACTTTGGAGCTCAACCAACCTGCCTCTTGTGCACACCAGTCTCTCTTCCCCAAAATGCTCTGCAGGCATTTTGGCCAAGACATCCCAGGCCTGTCACTTAACCTGAAATGTTCTTATCTTTCTAAATACAGTGCATTCAGAAAGTATTCAGACTCCCTTTACTTTTGTCAATTTTGTTGACAAAAGCTTGATTCTACAGCTGTTGAACTTCATTTTTCCCCTCCTTAATCTACATAGAGTACCCCATAATGACAAAGTAAAAATGTCTGTAAATTTAGTAAAAGGAAAAAAAGTGAAATATCACATTGGCATAAGTATTCAGATCCTTTGCAACAGCACTTGAAATTTAGCTCAGGTGCCTCCCATTTCCCTTGATTGTGCGGACATGTTTCTATACCTTGATTGGAGTCTACCTGTGGTAAATTAAACTGATTGGACATGATTTGGAAAGGCACACACTCTCCATAGAAGGCCTCTCAGATGACAATGCATACTGTAGCAGAACAATAGCCATGAGGTCAAAGAAAGTGCCTGCAGAGTTCAGAGACAGGATTATTGCAAGGCACAGATCTGGGGAAGGCTACCATAAAATTTCTGCTGCACCAAAGGTTCCTAAGGGCACAGTGGCCTCCATAATTCTCAAATGGAGAAGAACATTTGGCACAACCAGGACTCTTCCAAGAGCTGGTCGTCCGGTCAAACTGAGCAATTGGGGTACAAGGGCCTTAGTAAGAGAGGGGACCAAGAACCCAATGGTTACTCTGACTGAGTTTCAGAGATCCTGTGTGGAGATGGGACAGAGTTGAGTGGAGCAAAGCTGAATGGAGCAAAGTACAGGGATATCCTCAATGAAAACTGACTTGAACCCTATTGAATATTTTTAGGCACCTAAAAATAGCTTTCCATCAATGGTTGCCACCCAACCTGACTGAGCTTGAGAGGACTTGCAAGGAAGAATGGCAGAAAACCCCCAATCCAGGTGTGCAAAGATTTGAGGCTGTAATCGCTGCCAAAGGTGTTTCAACAAAGTACTGAGCGAAGGATCTGAATACTTATGTCAATGTGATATTTTAGGTTGTTTTGTTTTAATAGATTTACAGGCATTTCTAAAATTCTATTTTCACTTTGTCATTATTGAGGCAGATGAGAAAAAATGAATTTCAACAAGTGTAAAATAACAAAGTTGACAGAAGTGAAAGGGGTCTGAATGCTGTCTGAATGCACTGAATGTGGGTTCCTATTGACACAGAAATAAACTCCTAAGAACTTATTCATGTGAACAATTATGTGTATTTCAGTCTGCAAAAGGACTCAGGAGGGAATTCGCTCAAATGCTTTAATCTGTTTTTTAAAAGGTGGGGACACTGAGAGAGGAAATGGTGAAAAAATCCCTTTTGCCCATGAAACTCCTCGCTTGCCAGGAAAACGACATGTCAATAAAACCACAAGGCTTTATATTTCATTCATATATATATATATATAAAGATTTCTTAAAATCTGCCAGCAGAAAATCACAGGCAGCAGCTTTAAATCCTGCAGCAAAAGGATAATAAAAGAATTTGGGGGAGAGAAAGAATCTGCAGCAGGAGCAGCCCTCATGTTTCATTCCTGTCCCTTCGCTGCTTCCAGGCCCTGCAGGAACCCAAAAGGCTTCTCCTCCGACCTTCCCTCCACTCACCTCCCAGGAGCCGCTTCCGCCCTCCGAGCAGCACAAGAGGCTCCGCCGACGCCATTATCCTCCTCCCGTGGGTGACCCAGAAGAGGAACGTCCTCTCTCCTCCTCCTCTCTAGCAATCTAATACTCTATAGTTCCCATTCGTTCCAGCTCGGCCTCACTCCCTCGGTGGTGATGTCAATACTAGCAATGCCGCTGCTTTTCTCTTATTCTCTGCTATCGAGGCGCGACTGTTGCTTCTTTCTACAGCGCCATCTAGTGTCATAAAGTTTAAAATCACCGTCGTCCGATCTCTACCCTGAAGCGTTTGCAAGTGTCAGCCATCAAGTCTTATTCGACTCCCACCGAGCACAGGAATAGCTTTCGTCCATGACAATCTATGCTTTACCTTCTCTTTCAGGTCTCCCAAGAGGGCAGACTCATTTTCCCTCTTGCTCCAACTAAACCAAAGGAAAACGTCCAAGGAGGGGAATGACTATAATATCCAACCTGAAAGTGCACCTCCCTTGGGGGCTGGTGAAGATTGTTCCAGCCAATTTTACATCTCAGGGGATGCAGGATAAGTCTTGGAAAGCTGCCTTGGCAAATGATTGAAGCTGTAACAGTGAAGCTGTTGAATGGAAGGCTCTTGAGTCAAGCCCTTCTGTCCTTTGGGGTCTGGTAGGGATGCCCTCATTGTCACTCCAACTCAGCCAGGAGATTCTTTTGCAGGAACTGAACCAAGGAAATCATCCGTGGAGAGAACACAATGTGCCATCAGGCAGAGACAAAGTGCACCTCCCTTGAGGATCCGTGAAGTCTATTCCGTCCAGCTCTTTCTCTTGGGGTGCAGGATAACTCTCCAAAACTATATTTGCAACTGAGGGAAGCTTGAAGAGTGATGCTTTCCCCTATTCACAAGATTAGGCAGGTGCTGCATCATAAAAGTTGATAAAGGTCTTGTTTGTAGGGGAAACCTTAAAGACCCTGCTGTTCCGCCAAGCTGGGCTATCAATGTCATGATTTTTAAATTGGGTGTTTTAAATGTTTAGGGTTTTAAATCTGAGCCGAAATTATGTAATAATTTTAATTATTTTTAACTGATGTTTGTCTTTGTGTTTTTAGTAGGCTGTACACCGCCATGAGTCCTTCAGGAGAAGGGCGGTATAGAAATAAATTTATTTATTTATTTAAGCAATTGCCATGGGGTGGTTACATCTGGCCGCCAAGGCCGGTCTGGAAACAGCAAAGGACTGGCCTGTGTTGACTTTGCCAACAAAAATGGAGCTCCAGAGGGCCACGTGTGGCCCTCCCGATCTCTGTTTTCGCTGGCAGAGTGCCCAGGCCACTACAGGCGCCCCCAACATGATTGACAAACGGCCTTGAGGTGGCCACACACCCCCTGAGGTCAAACACAACCCTGATGCAGCCCTCAATGAAATTGAGTCTGACATCCCTGCTCTAGAAGCTGTAGGTGCTCCATCAATGGGGGTATTTAAGAGGAGATTGGACAGCCAATTGTCTGGAACGGTATAAGGCAGGGGTGTCAAACTCGATTTCATTGATGGCCGTAGCAGGGTTGTGTTTGATCTCGGTGGGGGCAGAGCGGACGTGGCCTGTGGTGGCCCAAGCGCTCTGCCAGAGAAAATGGGCTCCTGAGCTCTGTTTTCAGCTACGATGGCCTCCTACAACTCTCTGCCAACAAAAACAGCCTTAAGGAGGACCCACACACTGTTAGAAAAGTTTTTAGTTTAGGTTGTAGAGGTCAATAAGATCTTGGAATGTCCCAGCAGCTACAATTAAGCCAGATTTCTTTTATCAAGAAAAACTTTGTTTATTTAAAATCAATTAACTCTTTACATTTTAAATCACAGAACATGTATCTTGGTCTTTATTTATTTCTGAGGTAAATATGCCTAGAGCATAATCCCTTCTTCTCTCTTTTCTCCTTTTGCTTCTGCCTGTCTCCTATGTGTCTCTCAATGTGTGTGTGGGTAAAAGGGGTCATATTTATAGAGTGGCTAAGCCACTTCCCCTTCAGTCCCTTAGACAAAATGGAGGGAAAGTATAAACACAAAACCATCCTTCCGGTATAGACAGTGTGGTTCAGTGACACTGTTTTAGATAATTATCTGACAATTCCCCTTCTGACAGCGAACTATACTGTCACCCAAAGTCAAGATTACATATGCATACAATTAAAATGACAAACATAACTTCTTACACAAATATAGATGCTGATCTATATTAGCCAAGGACTTTGTAAGTATGTCAGCAGTTTGTTCTTCTGTTTTTATATAAATGACAGATGCAAAATTTATTTTGACCATTTGGCATACGTTTTCCATGTTGCATCTTTCAATTAATTCAATTATTTTTTTCTTTTTGCGAAAGGCTAAGCCCCTTCTCAGTTTGAGTTATTTGGATGCCCAAGTATCTATCTACTTGACCTAGGGATTTTAAAGTAAATTTTCTCCCTACAATTTCTGCAAACTTATCGCATGTGGCTTTGTTTGGCCCTATGTAAAGGAAGTCATCCACGTAGACTAATATTTTTTCAAAAATATTGTGTGCCCTTTTTGTAAACAGGCATTGGTCAGCTGGCGAGGTGGTGAAACCTATTGACCTCAGTAATTTGGTGAAGTGTTCATACCACATAAGACCTGATTGTTGGAGACCATATAGGCTCTTTTGTAGTTTCCAAGTTAAGCCCTCTTTTCCTTCAAAACCGGGTGGCTCCTTGACATAAATGTCCTCTTTCAGATCAGCATTGAGGTAAATGAGGTAAATGTGCCTAGAGCATAATCCCTTCTTTTCTCTTTTCTCCTTCTGCTTCTGCCTGTCTCTTATGTGTCTCTCAATGTGTGTGGGTAAAAGGGGTCATATTTATAGAGTGGCTAAGACACTTCCCCTTCAGTCCCTTAGACAAAATGGAGGGAAAGTATAAACACCAAACCATCCTTCCAGTACAGACAGTGTGGTTCAGGGGCACTGTTTTAGATAATTATCTGACACGCACGGCCCTCGCAAGGTCTGTTTTCATTGGCAGAGGCCCCGAGGGCCAGTCCGCTGTTTCGAGGGCAGCCCTGTGGGCCAGATCTAAGCACCCCGTGGGCCGAATCCAACCCCTGGGCCTTGAGTTTGACACCCCTGCTTTAAAGGCATGTTTTCCATATAAAATAATGCTTAAACAATGGGAGAATGTGTGGACAAAAGATCTAAAATTCAGATTAAAATAAAATGATATGGTAGTGAGATGATAGAAGTGTTCCAATATTTGAGGGGCTACCACAAAGAAAAAGGGGTTCAACCTATTTTCCAAAGCAGCAGAAGGTGAGACAAGAAACAATAGATGGGAACTAATTGAGGAGAAAAGCAACCTAAATCTAAGGTAAAGTTTCCTGATAGTGAGAACAATTAATCAGTGGAATGGCTTCCCTTCAGTAGCTCAGGGTGCTCCATCAATGGAGGCTTTTAAGAAGAGACTGGACTGGACAGCCATTTTTTGAAAATGGCTCCCTCTCCCCCACTCCTCACCCCCACCCCCAGATAATAACTAAGGAAATTTGGCCACATTCTTTCTGTCTCTGGAAAGATACCAAAATAAACCATGCATTGCAAAAGGAGTGACTGTCAGGCTGTTAGAGCACAGCGCCACGAGGTTGCCTCAAGGGGAGCAGATGGAGCTGAATCTCTCTCCCCCCACTCTCTCTCTCTCGCTTCCCCACTGCAGCAGAAAACAGCAGGCAACCCTGTCTCTCATCTCTCTCATCCTTCTCTTTCTCCCTCTCTCTTTCTCCCTCTCGTTTGTGTGTGTGTGTGTGTGTGTACGCGCACGTGTTCCCCCTTGAACCATTTCCAAAAAAAGGGCGAGGGTTGGGTTTGTTTGAGGTTTTTTTGCTGATCTTGTTCTTTCTTCTTTGGGTGCTTTTTACCGTATGATTTAAATCAAGAGTCTTTTCAGGTTCCTAGATAAATGAAGCTCTTTCGTCCCCCTGCTGTGGTTCCCTGATGGCTGGCTGCCCCCACTCACTCCTCACCTGTCCTGAGAAGAGAAGGGCGACAGTGGCAGATGGAGACTCACTCTGTATTCCAGAGTGGAAACGAAGCGCCCCTCTACTTGCCTCTTTTTCCAGCCCTTGTTAGGAGATGCACAAACTTTCTCCACACCTGGACACTGGCTGGCCTGCCCGGCTGCAGCCAATGCTCCGCGTCGTAATGGACTCCAGGAGGAGGAGGAGGGGACCCCGTCTCCTCCATTGTGCAGCATGCTAAGTTTAAGTGCAAAAGCAGTAAACAGCCATGGAGGCGGCGAGAGGAATATGGGGACTTTCTCTGCCCCGAGACACCGGCTGGGGCGCATCTCCCCAGATGAGCAATTCATCCTAGTGACTAGTCTCTCCAAGGTATCCATGGAGAGATCATGGGTTGCCTGCAATTCCTTTGGGGCTCAGCACCTCCTGCCTGGGACCCTCTGATCAGCTGATCTGCAGGGAAGAATGTGGGGCAGGGAAGGCAACAGGTGGACTGCACATAACAGAGGGGCAAAGAATGGCGGCTGGGGATATCCAGGAGAAAAGCTCCTTGATGTGGATGAGTAACGGGAAAGGAATTCTAGAGGAAGAATCCTCCCCAAGAATTCCTCTCTCCAGGGAGGGGCTGTCTCTGTGGATGAGAATTGCAATCCTTTCTCCAATTTGGCTGCTTCCTCCCATGCCTTCTGGGGGTTGCTTTGGGGGGGAGGGAGAGAGGGAGCCAAGGAAAGTGCCCTCCCTGTCAAGCACCAGGGAAATCGGAAGATCCAGACTGTTCAAATGGGTATAAAGATTTATTGCAAGCTTGAGATCTCTGCAAGAATCTGAACAACGATGAAAGCAATTTGTAAGTATGAGCTTCCAGTTGACATTGCAGGGATATCAGACACAGGGAATGAGTCTCCACGTTCCCTGTGCTGAATTCTCCCTGTTTGTGGCCTCCAAAAGGAGCCAAAGCCGGTGAAGCAAAGAAGGGCCCCCTGTGAGGTTGTGAGATAAAAAGAAGAAAAGGGAAAAAATTAGCAAAGATTCTTAATGTGGATAACAAACAAAATGGATACTTTTTCAGGCTGCTGATTGGAATTGTGGATTGTAGAGAGACATCTTCAGGAGAAATAAGATCATTTCAACGCTGAACATTTGTTTTGGAAAAACCTTGAATCCAGATAGTGATAACAGCCGTGAGAACTTCTGAGGAGGGTTTGTCTGTCTGTAAGACTTGACTTTGATGATAAAAAAAAAGAACTACAACACAACTTTAAATTGGAATAATACTAACCAAGAAAGAATAAAATGGCGCAGGAATTTATGGAAATGATGAAAATGATGCATCTATCACTGAAAACGGAAGTGAGGAAAATAATTACAATGTTGCATGGAAAACCGAACCCGATGATTCAAAAATTGTGTTAGAACACATTCAAGTTGACAAGAAAATAACGAAGAAGCAAGAAATAGAAATAGAAAATAAAGAGGAAGATAAAGACCATGAGACTGACTACGAAAAATTAAATGATCATGTGGGTAGTAAAAATAAAAAGAAAGTTAAAGAGTACATTGGAATTAACAATGGAAAAAAACAGAAAGGGTGGAAAGAGACAAAGAGAGAAGAAAGGGTGGAAGAGAAAGAATATAAAAAATTTAAAAGATTACAATGGGATTAACAGTGGGAAAACAAAAAAGAGGGAAAAGGGATGGAAAACTATGGGGAAAAAAAGAAAAAAGGGAGAAAGAAATGAAGAGATATATGTTGTATACACTTAGAATTGAAATATGAATTGAAATAAGATTTGTTAGAAAAAGATGAGATTGTGATATTAATTAAGTAATATAAAATAATGGAAAATTATATGGATATATGAATGAATTGAAATAAGTTTTAGAATATGAATGTTTAAATAAATGAGATTTTAAATTGCACTGTTGGAACTAACAGCTGGAATATTTTTAAACTTAAGGAAAACTCTAACAACTGGAATATCTTCAACTGCATATTTGGAATCTAATTAAAAAAGAAAAAAGTTAGTTCAAAGTATGAACTAACTAGGTTGTGGTGAAAATAGAAATGATTAAGATGTTTTTTGAAGAGATATAAATATGTATGTTTGACAAAGTAATTGAAAATTAGAGACAAGATTCAGGAAAAGCAATTTGATTTATTATTATATAAAGAGAAAGATATATCAGTTATGTAATTAACTGATTTTTATTAAGATGATGGATTGTATCATTTGAAATAAGATTTAAAGAAATGCATAAAACAATTTGGTTTATTATTTTTATAAGAAATGCATGATTGTAATACTACATAATTGACTTTTATTAAGATGCTGGATTCTTATTATATTGAAATAATTGATAATTGAAAATAGTGATTATATCAAGGGAATATAAGGAAATATTAGGAATTACATTATGTGGTGAGATTTGAAATTGAAGGGGTTTAAAATAGAGATGAATGGAAAAATTGAATTTGGTTAAGATTAGTGGTTAGGATGAAGGGTAATATTGGTCTAAAAAAAAGAGTTAGAGAGGATAAATACTAAGGCAAAAAGGGAATATATAAATTGTGTTGAAATGACTAAAAATTGTTTAAATTTGTGAAACAGACAACACTCAGAAAAAATACATTATATGTTTGTTTGTCTGTGTAAAAAATAAAAAAAACTTTTATTAAAAAAAAGTTGAATTTTAAAAACAAACTAAGATGCTTTATAAGGAGGAGATGTTTTGAAGGAGATGTTGTTACTTTTTCAAAACACAAAGGACATCATGGAGAAAGGATTTAAGGAGATTACGGAAAAAATGGAAAATACTATACGAGGGATGATGAGTGAAGACCAAGATGCCCAGGAAAGGGAGGAGCCAACAGAAGAAGTGGAGGAAATGATTGCGCCGAAGAACCAGAGAACAAAAGAAGTTAACGAGATAATGGAAATAACAGTAACAGATGAATTAAATCAGGGGGAAAATATATTAAGAGAGTTGAAAAGAGAATTGGAGATACAGGAAGATACTTTTGAAAGGAAGATGGGGGCCCGGGTAAAAATTTTGGAAACTACGCAATGGAAGAGAGTAGAGGTGGGAGAAAAACCTAGATTAAACTGTCAAGAAGTAGATGCAGATTGAGATAAAGATCCAAGGGAGGAATATGGGAGGCAAGCCAAAAAAAGCAGAGCAATTAAACTACTGAAGCGGGCAAGTGACGATGGATAAATGATTTTTCTTTTTTGTTGTCGTTCTGATTTGCTTTTCTTTTTCTCTCTCTTTTCTTTTGTTTTTTTAGGTAGGTGACACAACTAGAAGGTAGGTAGGACAGAAAGAAAATGTCTTTTAATATAGGGTGACATGATTAAAAGTTAGAATAAGAGATAGAAATAAGAGAAAAGGGAAACATTGTATACACTTTTATATCATAAAATAAAAGTAATAAGAGAAAACATGGAATAACTCCATGGCTTAGAGCCTGGATATCCACAAGACCACCTTCTGCCACCAATAATCTCCTACCGGCCAATACGCTCCCACAGAGAGGGTCTCCTCAGGGTGCCATCGGTCCAGCAATGTCGACTGGCGACCCCCAGGTGTAGAGTGTTCTCTGTGGGGGCACCTGCCCTCTGGAACGAGCTACCCCCAGGGATATGACTGATACCGGACCTCTGTACTTTCCGCCAGGCTCTGAAGACTTTGTTTCAGCGAGCCGAGCTGGCTAAAGATTTTAATTGATTAATTTTATGGGTAAGGGGTTTTAAAATTGGAAAGCCAAATTGGATTTAATTATTTTTTAAACTATTTTAATTTTCATATTGTATGTATTTTAACCCTGACTGTTCACTGCCCTGAGTCCTTCGGGAGAAGGGTGGTATAAAAATTTAATAAATAAATATATAAATAAATAACTGAACAATAACAGACCGCAATTTAATATGTGTATTATTATTAGAAATATAAAAGTTGGTTGAAACTTGGAAAAAAGCAATTTGGAAGTATATAAGAGTCAAAGAAATTCAAGGTGGGCTGGATTTAAACCTCTTGTGGGCATGAAGGGACACATTACGGATGGCATGTTTGATCCCTGTTATCACCATGAATTCCAGGCACAATGAAAATGATGGCTGCTTCCACAACACAATCATGTGGCCCAGGGATCCATGTCCTGTCCTCTTTTCCCAAAATAAGGTTCAGTGATCTCCACCGCTTAATAACTCACACATTCATTGACCATAAAACCGTAATAGATAGGCCCCATTACCATTATATCTCGAGGACTACTTGTATTTAGTTGGGAAATTCTGGCATTCAAAATCTGGAGGACACCAAGGTAGAAAATGGAAACTCTAATCGCAGAAATTCAATAATCAATATAAAAAAATACCACCCAAAAGCCTTCTTGAAGAATTCCACACCTCTGCAAAAGGAAATATCATGAAAGTTCTGCTCATCACCAGAAACAGGTAATTAACCTATATCAAGGCTGTGAGTCCTTTGGTCTCTCATCAGGTTAGAATTATGACTGAAACTTTTCTCGACATTCATACAATTTGTCCTGGAAATGAGTCCTCCGGTGTTTCATTAGGCTGGAATTCTGACTGAAACTTTTCCCACACTCAGGACATTCATACGGTTTTTCTCCTGTGTGAGTCCTCTCATGTCTTACCATACTGGAAATATGACTGAAACTTTTCCCACATTCTGGACACACATATGGTTTCTCTCCTGTGTGAATCCTCTGGTGTGTCACCAGGTTGGAACTCCTACTGAAACATTTCCCACATTCTGGACATTCATACAGTTTCTCTCCTGTGTGAGTCGTCTGGTGCATCACCAGGTTGGAATTACTGCTGAAACATTTCCCGCATTCTGGACATTCATATGGTTTTTCTCCTGTGTGAATTGTCTGGTGTTTTCTCAGACTGGAAATATGACTGAAACTTTTCCCGCATTCTGGACACACATACGGTTTTTCTCCTGTGTGAGTCCTCTGGTGTGTCACCAGGTTGGAATACCAACTGAAACATTTCCCACATACTAAACATTCATAAGGTTTCTCTCCTGTGTGAGTCCTCTGGTGTTTCCCAAGGCTGGAATTATTAATAAACCTTTTCCCACATTCTGAACATTCATACGGTTTCTCTCCTGTGTGAGTCCTCTGGTGTGTCACCAGCTCGGAATTATTACTGAAACATTTCCTACATTCTGAACATTCATACGGTTTTTCTCCTGTGTGAATCCTCTGGTGTCTTATCAGACTAGAAATATGATTGAAACTTTCCCCACATTCTGGACACATATACGGTTTCTCTCCTGTGTGAATCCTCTGGTGTCTCACCAGGTTGGAATTGTAACTGAAACATTTCCCACATTCTGCACACTCATACAGTTTGTCCTCTGTGTGAGTCCTCTGGTGTGTCACGAGATTGGAATTCTGGCTGAAACTTTTCCCACATTCTGGACACACATACAGTTTCTCTCCTGTGTGAGTCCTCTGGTGTTTCACCAGGTTGGAATTGCGGCTGAAACTTTTCCCACATTCTGGACACACATACGGTTTCTCTCCTGTGTGAATCCTCTGGTGTGCCACCAGGTTGGAATTCTTACTGAAGCATTTCCCGCATTCTGGACATTCATACAGTTTCTCTCCTTTGTGAATCCTCTGGTGTTGCACAAGTTTGGAATTCTGACTGAAACATTTCCCGCATTCTGCACACCTATACAGTTTGTCCTCTGTGTGAGTCCTCTGGTGTGTCACCAGGTTGGAAGTGTTACTGAAACTTTTCCCACAATCTGGACACTCATATGGTTTCTCTCCTGTATGAGTCCTCTGGTGTGTCACCAGGTTGGAAGTGTTACTGAAACATTTCCCACATTCTGAACATTCATACGGTTTCTCTCCTGTGTGAGTCCTCTGGTGTTGCACAAGGCTGGAGGTGTGCCTGAAACTTTTCCCACAATCTGGACACTGATACGGTTTCTCTCCTGTGTGAGTTCTCTGGTGTGCCACCAGGTTGGAAGTGTTACTGAAACATTTCCCACATTCTGAACATTCATACGGTTTCTCTCCTGTATGAGTCCTCTGGTGTTTCACAAGGTTGGAAGTCTGACTGAAACTTTTCCCACATTCTGGACATTCATACAGTTTCTGTCCTGTGTGAGTCCTCTGGTGTGTCACCAGGTTGGAAGTCTGACTGAAACATTTCCCACATTCTGAACATTCATACGGTTTCTCTCCTGTGTGAGTCCTCTGGTGTTTCACTAGGCTGGAATTATGACTGAAACTTTTCTTACACTCTCGACATTCATACAATTTGTCCTGGAAATGAATCCTCTGGTGTGTCATTAGGCCGCAATTCTGACTGAAATTTTTCCCACAATCTGGACGCTCATACAGTTTGTCCTCTGTGTGAGTCCTCTGGTGTGTCATCAGGTCGGAATTATTACGGAAATATTTTCCCCATTCTGAGCAATCATACGGTTTTTCTCATGTGTGAATCCTCTGGTGTCTTATCACACTGGAAATACGACTGAAACTTTTCCCTCACTAAGGACACACATATGGTTTCTCTCCTCTGTGTGAGTTCTCTGGTGTGTCACCCGGGTGGAATTATGACTGAAAAATTTCTCACACTCTCGACACTCATACGGTTTCTCTCCCGCGTGAATCGTCTGATGTGATATCAGTTTGGAATTACATCTGAAACTTTTCCCACACTCTGGACATTCATATGGTTTCTTCAGGGTATGAATCCTCTTGTGTGTCACCAGGTGGGAATTCCTACTGAAACATTTGCCACAGTCAGGACATGCAAAGGGTGTCCCTCCCATATGAGTCTTCTGGTGTATTACCAGGGTGGAGTTGTGACTGAAAAGATTTGAAAAAAGAAAAAAGTATACATTACAATAAGCAAACATGCCACAATAAAGAATAATCTCTTACATTAGTTATGATTTATTTGACACATTTGTGTCCAATTTCAAATATCCATTCAGCATCTGTGTCAGCCCAATCTTTAAGCATGGTGTCATATTTATTTATTTTATTTATTTTATTTTTTAAATTTATATGCCGTCCATCTCCGAAGACTCAGGGCGGCTCACAATACATTTAAAAAAAAAACCATTCTAAAAACATTTTAATTAACAAAATTAAAAAACAATTAAAAACTTTAAAACGCATTCACACCATTCATGGCCGGATCTCGCCAGATCGCAAAGCGAGATCAACCGCCCCAGGCCTGCCAGAAAAGCCAGGTCTTCACTGCTTTTTGGAAGGCCAATAGGGTGGGGATGGTCCGGACCTCAGGAGGTAACTGGTTCCAGAGAGCTGGGGTGGCCACAGAGAAGTCCCTCCCCCGCCAGCCAGATATGACAATGCCAATTTTCATACCATGCTTGTTGGTTTTACAGAAAGGGAATGCCATGAAAGTGAAGGTGGAAAGTCACAGAAAAATTCTGTGCCTTAAACAGACAGAATTTGGAGAAAAACTGAAAATTGGAAAGGGAAGATGGTAATGGAATAACTAGACTGGGTGAACAGAATATACAGATAAACTCTGCAAAGGGCATTTTATTCCAACAACAGAAGCCACTTTGGAGCTCAACCAACCTGCCTCTTGTGCACACCAGTCTCTCTTCCTCAAAATGCTCTGCAGGCATTTTGGCCAAGACATCCCAGGCCTGTCACTTAACCTGAAATGTTCTTATCTTTCTAAATACAGTGCATTCAGAAAGTATTCAGACTCCCTTTACTTTTGTCAATTTTCTTGACAAAAGCTTGATTCTACAGCTGTTGAACTTCATTTTTCCCCTCCTTAATCTACATACAGTACCCCATAATGACAAAGTAAAAATGTCTGTAAATTTAGTAAAAGGAAAAAAACTGAAATATCACATTGGCATAAGTATTCAGACCCTTTGCAACAGCACTTGAAATTTAGCTCAGGTGCCTCCCATTTCCCTTGATTGTGCGGACATGTCTACCTGTGGTAAATTAAACTGATTGGACATGATTTGGAAAGGCACACACTCTCCATAGAAGGCCTCTCAGCTGACAATGCATACTGTAGCAGAACAATAGCCATGAGGTCAAAGAAAGTGCCTGCAGAGTTCAGAGACAGGATTATTGTAAGGCACAGATCTGGGGAAGGCTACCATAAAATTTCTGCTGCACCAAAGGTTCCTAAGGGCACAGTGGCCTCCATAATTCTCAAATGGAGAAGAACATTTGGCACAACCAGGACTCTTCCAAGAGCTGGTCGTCCGGTCAAACTGAGCAATTGGGGTAGAAGGGCCTTAGTAAGAGAGGGGACCAAGAACTCGATGGTTACTCTGACTGAGCTTCAGATATCCTGTGTGGAGATGGGGCAGAGTTGAGTGGAGCAAAGCTGAATGGAGCAAAGTACAGGGATATCCTCAATGAAAACCTGTTCCACAGCGCTCAGGACCTCACACTGAGCCGAAGGTTCACTTCTCAACATGACAAGGGACACAGCCAAGACAGCATAGGAGTGGCTTAGGGACAACTCTGAATGTCCTAGAGGGGCCCTTGCCACAGTTCTGACTTGAACCCTATTTAATATTTTTAGGCACCTAAAAATGGCTTTCCATCAATGGTTGCCATCCAACCTGACTGAGCTTGAGAGGACTTGCAAGGAAGAATGGCAGAAAAACCCCAATCCATGTGTGCATTATTGCCTCATACCCAAAAAGATTTGAGGCTGTAATCGCTGCCAAAGGTGTTTCAACAAAGTACTGAGCGAAGGATCTGAATACTTATGTCAATATGATATTTCAGGTTGTTTTGTTTTAATAGATTTACAGGCATTTCTAAAATTCTGTTTTCACTTTGTCATTATTGAGGCAGATGAGAAAAAATGAATTTCAACAAGTGTAAAATAACAAAGTTGACAGAAGTGAAAGGGGTCTGAATGCTGTCTGAATGCACTGAATGTGGGTTCCTATTGACACAGAAATAAACTCCTAAGAACTTATTCATGTGAACAATTATGTGTATTTCAGTCTGCAAAAGGACTCAGGAGGGAATTCGCTCAAACGTTTTAATCTGTTTTTTAAAAGGTGGGGACATTGAGAGATGAAATGGTGAAAAAATCCCTTTTGCCCATGAAACTCCTCGCTTGCCAGGAAAACGACATCAATAAAACCACAAGGTTTTATATTTCATATATATACATACATACATACATACATACATACATATATATATATATATATATATATAAATTTTCTTACTTCTTCGTAAGGTTTATGTGTGTTTTTCTTCTAGCCATATATATATGGCTAGAATATATATTATATTGTCCTAAAAATGCGAGTTCCAGGTATAGTTATAGAAGAGGCGATAGACATCACGATCTCTGGAACGTTTAAAAGTTTTAAAAGTTTAAAAAAAAATTATTTTAAAACTTGTACTAAGCTTTCGTCGGCCCCTACCGACTTCGTCAGAGTATAAAATCCCCATTGAGGAGCTGCTTGCTTTTATGTAATGCTGATCAATTTAGTCCTGGCACGCGTAACAGGCCCACACCCCTGCGTTCCCCCTGTAATTAACTTTCTTTCTGCCTTAGTCATGCTGAGAGATGACGATGCACTTCCCCCTGCCTCCTGCCCCATTATGTGTTGCTTCTTTCTCTCCCTCGGGGGTAACGCAGGGTTATCAGGCATTGCTTTGAAGGTATTTCTCCCGGCTCTCTCTCCCTCATTGTTATGCCTTTCCCGTTTAGGCATACACGTTGCCTCCTCTGAACCTATTTGTTTTGCCCATGATCTTGTGATGGGTCTGCGTTGTTCTTCCTTACCCTCCCCCCCTATCTTCCTCATTCTGCTGTTTCCCTAACCTACTCACTTGCTCTCTATCAGGGTTTATCACACCTTCATTGGGCCACTATTATATATATATTATATATATATATAAAGATTTCTTAAAATCTCCCAGCAGAAAATCACAGGCAGCAACTTTAAATCCTGGAGAAAAAGGATAATAAAAGAATTTGGGGGAGAGAAAGAACCTGCAGCAGGAGCAGCCCTCATGTTCCATTCCTGTCCCTTCGCTGCTTCCAGGCCCTGCAGGAACCCAAAAGGCTTCTCCTCCGACCTTCCCTCCACTCACCTCCCAGGAGCCGCTTCCGCCCTCCGAGCAGCACAAGAGGCTCCGCCGACGCCTCCGTCCTCCTCCCGTGGGTGACCCGGAAGAGGAACTTCCTCTCTCCTCCTCTTCCTCCTCTCTAGCAATCCAATACTCTATCGTTCCCATTCTTTCCAGCTCGGCCTCTCTCCCTCGGTGGTGATGTCAATACTAGCGATGCCACTGCTTTTCTCTTATTCTCTGCTATCGAGGCGCGACTGTTGCTTCTTTCTACAGCGCCATCTAGTGTCATAAGGTTGATAATCACCCTCGTCCTATCTCTACCGTGAAGCGTTTGCAAGAGTCAGCCATCAAGTCTTATTGGACTCCCACCGAGCACAGGAATAGCTTTCGTCCATCACAATCTATGCTTTACCTTCTCTTTCAGGTCTCTCAAGAGGGCAGACTCATTTTCCCTCTTGCTCCAACTAAACCAAAGGAAAGTGTCCAAGGAGGGGAATGACTATAATATCCAACCTGAAAGTGCCCCTCCCTTGGGGGCTGGTGAAGATTGTTCCAGCCAATTTTACATCTCAGGGGGTGCAGAATAAGTCTTGGAAAGCTGCCTTGGCAAATGATTGAAGCTGTAACAGTGAAGCTGTTGAATGGAAGGCTCTTGAGTCAAGCCCTTCTGTCCTTTGGGGTCTGGTAGGGATGCCCTCATTGACACTCCAACTCAGCCAGGAGATTCTTTTGCAGGAACTGAACCAAGGAAATCATCCGTGGAGAGAACACAATGTGCCATCAGGCAGAGACAAAGTGCACCTCCCTTGAGGATCCGTGAAGTCTATTCCGTCCAGCTCTTTCTCTTGGGGTGCAGGATAACTCTCCAAAACTATATTTGCAACTGAGGGAAGCTTGAAGAGTGATGCTTTCCCCTACTTAGCTTCACAAGATTAGGCAGGTGCTGCATCATAAAAGTTGATAAAGGTCTTGTTTGTAGGTGAACAATTGCCACGGGGTGGTTACATCTGGCTGGCGGGGTCACCCTGGGGTCACCCTGGAAACACAAAGGACTGGCCTGTGGTGACTTTGCCAGCAAAAACGGAGCTCGGGAGGGACACACAATTGAGGAGTGTTGTTGAGGTGGCCACACACACCCTGAGGTCAAACACAACCCCCGATTTGGCCCTCAATGAAATTGAGTTTGACATCCCTGCTTATAGGAAAAATAAGAGGGAAAAGTGGAATGGCTCATTTACAAAAAGATCCAAAAGGCCCATTAAAATAAGCCTTTTGCTTGTTTATTCACAAGAAAGGGACCCCTTCCCTTCCCAATCAGGTACTTTCCAGAAGGAATGGCATGATGAATTAAAACCTATGTGTACTTTTCAGCACTCATGAAAAGGGCTGCAGGAGGCTGTCCAGGCCCAAAATGGGGACTCCAGAGGGCTCCAGGAGGACATTCTTGACTCAGAAGGTTACAGAAGGGAGGAAAGGTTAAATATTTTACCTTTCAGGCTTGCAGGATTCTGCTACTATAGCCTATGTCAATAATTTATAGTTCTAGTTCTAGTTTCTTGATCTGGTCTCTCTCTCATAAGGTGATCAAGTAGATCAAGTAAGTATTAAAAAAAAACAAAATCAGAGAAATGTACACCTCTTTATTTTTATAAGTGTATAAAACAATGTGTGTGGAGCTGTGGTCTTGTGTCACGCCCACCATGGCCACACCTACCCCGCACCCAACATGCACCCTCTGAGGTCAAACACAACCCTGATGCGGCCCTCAATGAAATTGAATCTGACATCCCTGCTCTAGAAGTTGTGGGTGCTCCATCAGTGGACGTTTTTAAGAGGAGATTGGGCAGCCAATTGTCTGGAACGGTATAAGGCAGGAGTGTCCAACTCGATTTCATTGATGGCCGCACCAGGGTTGTGTTTGATCTCAGTGGGGGCGGAGTGGACGTGGTCAGGGTGGGCGTGGTGAGCACGATGTCACTTGTGTCAGGGGCGCCTGTGGTGGCCCAAGCGCTCTGCCAGAGAAAATGGGCTCCTGAGCTCTGTTTTCAGCTACGATGGCCTACAACCCTCTGTCAACAAAAATAGCACTAGGGAGGACCAGCGCGTGGCCCTCGCAGGCTCTGTTTTCGTTGGCAGAGGCACCGAGGGCCAGTCCTTTGCCTTTTTCGAGGGCAGCCCCGTGGGCCAGATCTAAGCACCCCGTGGGCCGAATCCAACCCCTTGGCCTTGAGTCTGACGCCCCTGCTTTAGAGGCATGTTTTCCATATAATGCTTAAACAATGGCAGAATGTGTGGACAAAAGTTATAAAATTCACATTAAAATGAGATGATAGTGAGATGATAGCAGTGTTCCAATATTTGAGGGGCTACCACAAAGAAAAAGGGGTTCAACCTATTTTCCAAAGCAGCAGAAGGCGAGACAAGAAACAATGGGTGGGAACTAATTGAGGAGACAAGCAACATAGAGCTAAGAAAAAGTTTCCTGACAGTGAGAACAATCAATCAGTGGAATGGCTTCCCTTCAGGAGCTCAGGGTGCTTCATCAATGGAAGCTTTTAAGGAGAGATTGGACAGCCGGTTGTCTGACATGGTACAGGACAGCGGTTTGCAACCTTAAACAAAGAACCATTTGGATCCATTTCCCACAGAAAACACTGGGCGTTACAAAACCTGAGTGGGCATGACTAACTCAATATCGCTCCCACCCAGTATACCCCCCCCCAGCCACGCCTACCCAGGTTTTGTCTCTCCCAGTGTTTTATGTGGGATATGGTTTTCTCTCTCTCTCTCACCTCCTCCCCCCCTCCCTCCCATTTTTCTCTTTTTCTCCTCTTCCCCTCTTTCTTTCTTTCCTTTCCCCCTTCTCTCTCATTTATTTCCCCCTCATTCACACCCATCATTTTCTTATTTCTCTCTCCCTCTCTTCTCCTTTTTTCTCCTTTGTTTCTTTTTACTCCGGAGCCATTGGCTGCCAGCACACAGCCTACAGGAAAGGCTTTGTTTGCTATATTTTAATTTTTGTTTAATTTAGGTTTTTTTCCCTGACGAGGGTCTGTGCCCCCTTCTTCTTGGTTCCATCTGTGTCCAATAGCCTTCATTTTTGATGTTTTGTGAAGGGCTTTCAGGTTTGGCATCTCTCTGGTGTAGTTTCACATTCCGTTTGCAGGCTCTGTCTTTGATCCTGTTCATTCCAGATTGACAACTCTGGTTCCTGTCTCCCCGTCATCCCGCTCCCCTTCTTTGCCCATTCCCACGCCCATTCCTTACTTCCCTAATTGCTTCCCCCCCTCCTTGCATTTTATGGCAGGGTGCCAGTGAAGCAGAGTATGCTGGAGATGGCAGGCCTGACACGAGTGTTTCAACTTGATTATTCCTCAAGAACCCCCAGGAATTTGCTACTGTACTGCATTTTTCCCTGGTCAGCAACTCTTGATGGCTAAAAATTCTGCCCTTTGACAGAAACCAATAGGGGCACTAATGCATGTTTCTCAAGATGCTGGGTTATAATCCAGCCACTTGGACCATCTGGGTCTCCTGGAGATCTTCAGCATGAGTCCTTCTCTATCCCAGGCAGGAGCTGCTGCCCCAAAATTAGGTGCTCTCTCTTTTTGCAATCTATCAGACCAGTAAGGAAAAATTTCTGGCTCTTTGCACTTCTGCAAAATGACAAGATGCCCTGATCAAGCTTTTTCTAGAAATGCTTCCTTCTCCCCTATTGATGGCACAGAAGATGAGATTCAGTCACAGCTGCTTGTCCAGCCTAAAATTAGCTCAGAGGTGAGCCTGACAGTTGCTAAAGTCTATTTAACAAGTAAAACTCCAGACTTGGAAAATACTATCCGGCTTGTGGGGGGTGAGCAATTCATCCTAGTGACTAGTCTTTCCAAGGTATCCATGGAGAGATCATGGGTTGCCTGCAATTCCTTTGGGGCTCAGCACCTCCTTCCTGGGACCTTCTGATCAGCTGATCTGCAGGGAAGATCCAGCCCAGTTCAGCCTCACCAGCCTACCTGCTCCAAGGGAAGAATGGGGTAAGGAAGGCAACAGGAGGACTGCACAAAACAGAGGGGCAAAGAATGGGGGCTGGAAAACCATGGAGGGAGGGATACCCAGGAGAAAAGCTCATTGATGAGGATGAGTATCAGGAAAGGAACTCTAGGGGAGAGAATTCCTCTCTCCAGGGAGGGGCTGTCTCTGTGGATGAGAATTGCAATCCTTTCTCCAATTTGGCTGCTTGCTTCCATGCCTGCTGGGGGTTGCTGTGGAGGGGGGAAGAGGGAGCCAAGGCGTGGAGAGAAAGTGCCCTCCCTGTCAAGTACCAGGGAAATCAGAAGATCCAGGCTGTTCAAATTAAAATCTCTGCAATAATCTGAAGAACGATCAAAGCAATTTGGAAGTATGACACTTCCAATTGATGTTGCGGTGATATCAGACACAGGGAATGGATCTCCACGTTCCCTGTTCTGAATTCTCCCTGTTTGTGGCCTCCAAGAGGAGCCAAAGCCAGTGAAGCAAAGAGGGGCGCCCTGTGTGGTTGCGGAATTGCAGCTCTCCTGTCTGACCGGGGATTCTTTTTCCCTCTCAGCCATAGTAAGAAGAGACAGCCTAAAGATGGCTGCCAGAAAGCTGGGACAACCGAGGAACAACTAAGACTGGTGCTGGAGCGAAGTAGGTGAACAGTGATTGAAACTGAGGGAGACAATTCCTTTTTGCCTTAAACTTAACCCCAAGGAACAATTTAAAACTGTTTGCTCAGAACTAGTTGTTAAAGCGGCGTTTACGCATTCTGAGAAAATACCAGAACGGAAGGGGAAGACGCAAGAGACAGAAATAATAAATTTTGAAATAAACAGAAAATTGGACTCTTAAACTGGGAAGACGTGGTACTGGGAAGGCATTTTAAAATGCTGGAATCATTTACTTACAAAATGTATTCTGCTTTTATAATTGATTTACAACTAAAATGATGATTGACTAGAGGCAATACTGAAATTTAAGTTGAGAGCGCCACCTGCTGACGAAAGGAAAATTTACAAGTCTGTGAATACTTACATGAGCCTGGATAGCTCAGCAGACTAATGCATTGTAATTAACTCCAGCTGTCTGCAATTAATGTAAGTTCAAA